GTCGATGTTTGCTGAGAAATCAATAGTAGACAGCTAAAAGACAAAAAAAAACATAATATATTGTAAAAAATTTATTCCCACATATAGAAAAAAATTATATTTTATACTTATATTATAAAAATAGTGGACAGAGGGAGAGAGGGAGCGAGAGAGATAGGACTTTAATTATTTAGTTTGGTTTTGTATTTGTTTTAGCTTTTTATATAAAAAGTGAAACTGCAGCAACAAAGCTTCTTCACCTCTTCCCTGCCAGAGACACCCTGAGCGATTAAAGCCTCCTGTTCAATGTTGATCCACGCAAACATTAACCAAGATAAGACAGGAGGAAACAAGGCTTCTGACCTAGGTGGAGGGGGAAAAAAACAGGAGCTATAATCTTTAAATCTGCTGTGGTGGTATTTTTACACAAGTCCAAATATAAGCGATACTAATGTGTGTGTGTGTGTGTTTGTGTGTGTGTGTTGTTGTTGTACCCTGTGCTGAGCAGCAGGTACGTAGAGATGAGAGACAGGAAGATGCTGAGGAGCCGATGGAAAAGGCGCGTTGAGCTCAGCAAAGGAACAAATATGGACGACGCTGAAAACAGCAGGAGAGGCAGCAGAGGTGTGTGGGATGTTAAAAACACGGGCAAATAACGCCGGCTGAAACATTCCAACATTTAATTCATCGTTTTAGCATCTTCACGATTCCTGGACGAACTCACCCAAAGTGCTCCAGCTGATGATCTGGTTGAGAAGCGGTAGGCCCTGTTTCTGCTGCAGGCTGGAGTGGGTGAGGTATGGCACGTACGCGCACACAGCCACATGGATCATCTGTCCAGATCGACAAATTCTACTTTTTTTTAATCCCAGCGACAACATATCGCACACGAATCATACACTGTACCTAAGTTACCTGAGTGAAAAACTGCCGTCTGTCACTGGGGTGCAGCGGTGTCCTCTGCCATGATGACCACAGGTAACAGGCTGATGTGAAGAGGGTGAGCAGACCTGCACAGACACTGAGAAAACATATGTTCATTATACCTCACACACATTTAAAGTTTTGATCTTTTAATATCTGACACCTAACCGTCTGATCACCGGAATGTGACGGGTGAGAGATTTGTCACGCTCCGGTGAGCAGACTTCCGCCACATATTTACGGAAAAAGTTTTTTTTAACACATTTTTGCATTTCTAAACTATTTGTAGCTGAAAAACAAGCTTGGGACAGTTTTGACATCTTGGTTTTGAAAGTATTTAATTGCGTAGGCAGTTCAGTTTTACATCAGACTTACAAGTGAAACGTATTAACATTTATTATACCTTGGAATTGGGAAGTCAGAGCTCTTTCGCTTGTTGTTTGCTTTCCTTCTAATGACAAACTTGCATCAGAAACTGTGCAGCTAATTTATTCTAACTCTGAAAACAAAAAACTGTTTCTTTTTATCTTCTACCGCCTGAGCACAGAATATGAATTTGTGTTAYAGTTTTTCATTATCTGTGCTCGAGTTAAAAAAATGTCATTAAGTGCAGTCAAGTCAAAGATTTGACTGTAACTGATCTGACAATATCTAAATTCTTGGTTCTCCCATAGTGTGATACTGTGGTAGATTTTCTGATAAATGTACACAAATGAAGGAAGTACTCACACCAGCTGTAGGTTAGGGTCTCTACCAACAACAGGCATCAGAGGGAAAACAGCCAAACATAGACAGGCCACAAACCAGCTCAAAGCACGAAACTGCACAAAAATGCAGACAAAAAAAAACTTTAAAAAACCGTAATGGTAAAAGGAAATGCATGCAAAATATGCAGATTTTTATTATTATTAAAATTATAGTAATTTAATAAAATAATGATGAGCTGCAAAACAGTGGATACATGATCTTTGACACACCTCCAGTAGTCAATTTTTTTAATCTTAACACATATGTGCAAAACTGTGTTTTTTGTAAAATTTCAATTAAAAACTAAAAAAAAAAAAAACCTCTCACACTATTCAGCTCATTTTCTCTTTAATGTCTAGTTCTTCTGAGAAACCTGATCATCACATTTGAATGTCTGAGTTCATTTTCAAGCATTTCAATGCAAATTTGTGGAAAGAGTGACTGATGTAATTTAACATTTGTTTTTAATTACAGTTATAGTATTTTTAATTGCTCTAATAGGCCACACCAATAATATCTTATATTAATATAACCAGCTGAGCAAGGATGTGGAAATAATTTAAGATTAAAATGATGAAAAACAAATTAATCTACTTGTAGGGTTATTGCAGCACGAGATTATTTTAGCGCCAGGTGCAGTAACTCAGGTTTTGTCATCCGGGTAGTAAGAATTGTTTATTTTAAAGCAGAAAGTTCACAGATTTCTCATATTTTTAATGCATAAAACATGGCCATAAACATTTATTTAAATCTCATCTTTTCTTTTATTATGATTTGTTTTAAGGAGACAAAATTACATTTAAAAATGTTGTCAAATGGAAACTAGATTGACAATATAAAGAAGAAAATATTAATTTGTACTCATCATCAAGGAATTTCTAGATTTTACTTCATCTATTCTTTGCCTGAAACTTCTGCTACCTTTCATTTAATTTATGATTTGTATTTTTGTTGTTTGTTGAATTTATATTGTTGTTTTTTTAAGGAAATTAAAAGAATAAACTTAACTTAAAAATAAATAAATAAAATAACTTTGTTTTCTTTGATAATAAATTTCCTGGACAGACACTGTTTTTTTTTTTAGAAATATAGGCAAAGACAAACTAAAAAAAACAACAACAAGCAGGGGGGAAAAAAACTGGTAGCCTTTTCCTTGTTTAATCAAGAGCAATGTGTTGCTTAGCTACCTTTGCCTTGTCAAAAAGCCCAGACAGGAGGGGCCACAAGGACAGAGCAGTGAGGCCCAGAGTCAGCATGGCGCGATGGAAGAAACTCGCCACCTGGGGGCAACAAATACAAACGAACAACTCTTCAGGACAAACAGTGACGTCAGACTAAACATGACGAGCTCCTTGTAGTGATAAACATTGTTGTGTTATGAACTGATGAGCAGATAAATGATGATATTCAAGAGCAAAAAGAAAAAAAATAACTGAAATAAAATAAAAACACCTACGAGCAGCTCGATTCCAAATACCACCAGGACTAAGTAGACAAAACATTTCTTCAGTTGCAGAGAGGAGGCTGATCGAATCAGATCTGTTAAAACTCCAGACCTGAAATAAAACAAGATCAAAAAACATACTAAACAAACTGATAAACCTACATTTTTCTTTAGTTACAAAAAATATCTAAAGAAGACATGTGACTGCACCTACAGCCAACATGAATGTAAGTATCTGCAACAAAAATTATATCTGTGGATCTGTTCAAATATTCTGTCTGTGTACCTATACACAAACATATGCTACAGATGCAGGCATTTAAAATTTACTATCTAGTTTATTTAGCATTTCTTGAAAATACTGAAAAGGAAGGGAGTTAGAATTAGAAACATTATGTGATCTTATGTGATTTAATGAGATCTCATGCAATGAAATGGGGGCAGACGTTATAAGATATTATTCTTCTTTCTGCTCCTTTTCATTTATTGATACTGTGTTTGTGTTGTGTTGAAATTAGTTGTTTTTAATTAAATGAAATTAATGATTTAAAAAATGTGTCAGCGCTCAGAACATGCTTTAAGGATGACTCTCCATTACTACCACACTAAATTTTAACTCAATGTATAAAACCGGCTACATTATAGCTATGTCCATGTTGGCTAAGGGATCTTAAGCATCTTAAAGTAGACATATCCTGCTTTTAAATACTTCCTTTTCATATTTAAATCAATCATTCAGTTGGGGTCTTTATAAAGGGGAACTACAATACTTTGATCAAGCTCCGCCCCGCTCTGGCTTCGAGACCAGTCCGCTGCGGTTTGAGAGAAGGGGTTAGCATTTTCTAGCTTGCAGAAATGTTTTATTTACAATTTAATTATAAGGTGTCAACAAGGGAAGACTGGTCCATTTAGACTTACACAGAACCAGAGGAGAATTAAGATGAGGAAATTATAGTTGGTAACCAGATTTTATTTGGCAGTTCCATCACAGATAATTTGATGTAGAGAAAATGTCATAGAAAATAGAGAAAACTGAATGGACTAAAAAATATGATCCAAACAGAATATAAAGATATCTACGCAGAACCAGGAGAGACTAAATTCAACTTTTCTGCCTCCTATAGGGTCTCTTAAGTTACAACACAATGTATTTACAGTAACAGCTAAAAAAATGGATTTTGCATGAAATGCACCCTTTAAATTAAGTTGAATCCAAATGTCCATCAGTTGTAGACATACAATCCATGATTATTTTCTGAAAGCTTTAACAAAATTTGTAAAGTAAAAAAAAATTGTAAAGTGGTTCAAAAGATCTTTTGCTAACTGAAAGGCACACAGCAAAATTGTAATATGAGATATCTCATAATCAATTAGTGCTAAGAGTATGACTCTCAATCACCACCAAAACATCAACTAAGTTATGTATCTTTTTTGTTTGATAAGTTTGCTTATCTGTGGCAGCCATCTTGAATTTGATTGATTCCAAAAATGTAAGTAGTTGCAAATGTACAATCGATTAATTTCTGAGAGTTTCATTAAAATCTGTCTACTGGTTCAAGAGCTGCTTTGCTAATACTACAAACCACACACACACAAGCTTACTCACTCTTTAAAAACAGAGTACCACACGGGTACCGGCAGCAGACAGTAAATGTAGTGAGTAATGGGGCTTCTTTGGATTAATAGAAACATGGTGATCATCACCGCCACAGAAACAGAAATTCTCCCCAAATTCGWTGTAGAAACCTGCACAAAGAAGAGTAAAGCTGGATTAACAAAACGTTGGTTACACAAACCTGTCTCAAAGGAAAGAGTCGGAAATTCTATCCCAACTTGTTTCGTGAGATTAGGATGCCGATTTAAGGTGGCGTGAGTCTTCAGTATGACTAAAATAACATATGAAGTCCAGCCTACAAATCCCAGCACCACACTGCATCCTAGGAAGAACCTGTCATAGGTGTGGTAGTAGACCAGGCCTTCTAAAGAGAGCGATATCAGGGTCTGGCACAGAGACACCTGATGAGAGATGGAACAGCATGAGACATTAGTGTTAGTGAATTCTGCTTTGTTGTACAAATCAAAGAAACTAAAACAAATCTTAGCTTGTATTCAATGTTGATTTTCAGAAGTAATTTTGAAAAAGAAAAGCTGGAATTGATATTTTCTCTGATACTTACAGCCTCGTTGTACTTMTCCAGCTGAATCAGTATTCGAGCCTTCTGGATGAATTCGGCTTGTTTTGTCTCTGTCAGGAGTCTGAAAAACAACAATCAAGATCAGGACTAAGGGTTTATGGTGAGTGGGATGGATAAAGARCCCATATGAGYGAGAGCCTYGTAAGTGGGCCTATTGCTGTCCCCAAAAAGACRCTGGYCTTTATTCAAACCTTTGCAGCCCTCGGAGGAAGGACAGCAGGTCAGAAACACTCTTCTGAGATCCATAAAGAGGTCCYCAAGAATGATTTTCCTTTGACTGCTCAAAGCCAGGCAGTGACCTAAGTACTGYAGAGGGGTCTCTAATTCAATGCCACAGGCATTACACAGACCATTGTTATGAAGTCCCATCACCATTTTATGGCAGTTGAGAAGGTTGTGCCCAGTTAGGACTCCAACCAGTGTACTTGCCAGGGCRATGAGAGCTTTCCCAAACCTAAGATTTGGGCCATCTATCAGTTCCCGTGCCGGTCTACAATCCGTCAGCTCCCTCTGGCAAATTGAGTGTTGACGTCTAATCCAGGCCTGTAGGGCAGTCCTACAGACTGTTGTTGAGATACCTACAACAGGCTCTGATCCTAGGACAAGTAACTTACACTTATTCAGAACAGGAACAACTGGGAGATAAAGTTAGAGAGGCCAGACTGAGATGATTTGGACATGTCCAGAGAAGGTGCACTGGTAGAAGGAAGTTACAGATGTAGATGCCAGGAGAAAGACAAAGACCCAGGCCTCCCTTGAAAAAGAGCTCTCTGATCTCAATGGGTCTTTTTAAGAGACCCACATCACTAGTGAACAGACTCTGGTTCCAAAAATGCAACATAGCATCTTCTAAAAACAGAGTCCTGATGAACTACATGGACTACAAAAAGAGGGGACCTTTGGTCTGGTACTTACTGCTTCCATTCTTTGAGCATAAAGATGTTGGACTCTTAAGGTAAATCCATGTTCTTAACTTCATTTAAACTTTTAATTTTACAAATATACTCACTGGAAGGGTGTGAAGAGAAAAGACAAGGTTGTCTCTTTTTTCTGGCTCATTTTCATCTATTGGAAAAAATATATATATTTAGCTCAGTCGCTGGACTTAAGTACACGAGTATATTAAACATTAAAATGTAAAAGCTAAACTGTTCCAAGCAGATAATAATCAACGTGCTGACTGAAGTATAGCAGAAATCCCTGTTGTGATACCTTGAACTGCTCCAGGACTTGAATAGCATTAGTGAAMATGCTTTCTGCCTTGAACTGATTGCTGTTGTTAAGGTAGAGAAGTGGTAACACACCCTAAACACACACATGCAAAAATAAACAGTCAGTACATTTTACATTTTGAAATCTTCTACAAAAACACACTGTATGACTTTTGCAAACACTAAAGTGCATTAAAAATATGTTTTTACATCTACGATAATTGGTTGCAGAGTTACAGTTTATACAACTTTAACCYTAATTTACATTAAATATTTTCTCATTGACTTACAACAGAGTTAACAGGAATGGGCAAACCAATGAGAGAGGCCATCAGTGGAGCAATGTCAGCCTATAGAAAAAAACAGTATAAAAAAAACTTTAGAAGTAGCAAAGCTTGTGTACATGAGAAATCAAAAAGAAAAAAATTGTATAGGTCTTCTGGACAGGTTCTTCTCTAATGAAACGTTTCGTCTCTCCTCCAAGAGACTTCTTCAGTCTGAGAGTTTAATGAAAATGAAGACCCCAAACCCAGACCCAAACCAGTGGTTATTCCGTATGTTGCTGGTGTTTCGGAGAAACTGAGACGT